CTAGAGGGATCTGGTAAGAAAACTGGAGGTGACAAGTCCATTCTGGGAACGGTCTGGATGCTCCACGTGCCGCTTCCCTGATCGCTCCGTGGAACAGCCGGGTGCTCCTTAGCTTCCCCAAGTGACCCTCGGTGTGGGTGGGAGGGTGGAACTTGCTGTTTGATGTCACCACCTTACGAGGTCACTTTCCAGAGGAAGAAACCACACAGGCAAGTGCCGGGGCCAAGTCCTGGATAAACAAAATTTCTGCATTAGCAGTATAACAAGCAGATGCTGATTATTCTTAACTTACTGGTTTTGCGCTGCTGAGCGGTGCATACAGCCGCTCCTGCCTGGGGGAGGAGATGAGCCGGGATGATGCTGGGCGGGCGCCGGGCCCCATCCCTCCCAGCATCCCGGGGGAACGGCCCGTCCCCGTGCCAAGGCGGGAGGAGCAGGCGGTGAAACGCTGCCGGCCCCGCAGAGGAGCACCGCGCTGTCGGGTCACCCTGGCACTAGCGTCTAAAAGCAAAAAAATGCCGAGCGCTCCTACGATGAGGTGTGCGTTTGAGCTTTAGGGGGGGCAATCCTCCTTTGTGCACCCAGCACCGGTCTGGAAAGGGTGCAGGAGCCCAAGCACAGACCTCTGCTCTTTCTGGGGACCCTTCCCGGGGTTCCAGCAGCCCCGCAGCCTGCGCGGGCTGGCCTGGCTCTAACCAGAGGACTGCTGGCAGCCGTGCCTGGACTCTTGCCAAAGTTCATTTGCAAACGAGTTGTCAGTTCCTCACCAAAGGGTCCAACTCTGCAACAGATCTCCAGCACAAGCAGCGCTTACGTAAACACGGCCTTTGATGTCAGCGGGATAACTCACATCCATGTTTGCTTCTTGCCTTGGTTCTTTAGGAGAAAGAGTATTAACAATTGCCAATTTATTTCAATTAGTCAGCATCTGTGTGCTTGCTAGTCTGGACGCTCTGCGAGCACTTGTTCCAGGACACACACATGTTTGGCTAATCCCGAGGTGCAGCTTTCAGTAAGCCACAAATATTTGTTTCTTGGAGCAAACAACTGTGAAGAACTGAAACTAGCTCATGCAGAACAACTCATTAGCTTCAGTTAATTGGTAATCCCTTCATTAACCTGAGGCTGAAAAGGCCAGAGGAGATGCACACACCTCTAAGAAGCTGCAGAAAGCGCGAGGCTTTCAAAATTGTGTTTTGCATGACTGAAAAGCATTCGGGGATGAGGAAAAGGCAGAGCGGGGCCGAGGACCTGGCAGGCTGCGAGGCTGAGCGCGAAGGCAGGGCTGGAGCAGGCACAGGGGCAAACCCAGAAATTGTGCTCATCGCCGAAAACCAGGGATGCTGCAAGCGTCCCTGACCCAGGGCCAAGCCACGTGGGGGACATAAACCAAGAGAAATCTCCAGTCCAACGGGATCCTACTGTGGTTTCGCTGTGCTGAATCCCCAGGGCTCCATGTGGGGCCAATGTAGAGCCAGTGGCCACCGGCACCGCAGCCCGGACACGTCCCAGGGGATGCTGTGATCCCTCCAGCCCCTGGAGCCAGGGATGTGTCAGAGAAAACGGGGAAGCATCTGAAAAGTAACCATGTCCGTCTGTCCTTCCAGCCTCGAGAAGCAGCTGGGGGAGGACACGTCCTCGTTAGCCTTTTAGGGTCTGCTCTTCTTCAGCCACCCCATCACCGTGCCTCGGCCGCCCGTCTGGGCAGCCGGGAGGAGGAGGAAGGGCAGGAGGAATCCCGGCGCGGTCGGATGGAGCCATAACTCACAAACCAAGACCAAGACGTTTGTTTTCCAACACGTTCCTGCAGAGCTGCCCGTGGGACCCCATCCCCAGGCCCCGGAGCACATCCGATGCTGACGCTGCCCCTTTCAATAGGATTTTTGCAGTTTACTGGACCTGAGCTCCCATTTTGGGGAAAGAAAAGGATTATTCGCTGGCCCTGTTTCAGAGACAGTCCTGTGAAGATGTGATCTCCAGCCTCGCAGGACTCGAGCAGCAATCCCAACCATGTAGCATGCTGCAGGCATCTTTCCTACTCTGCTCTCTCAGCCTCCAGTTTTTGCTTTTTAATTTCCTGTGGCCACGGAGCACCGTCGGAGGGTCTCCCAGGGATGGCGTTTCCCACATGCCGTGGACTGGGTTGGGACTTTAACTTAAGTTAAATTGGTCTCGACGCAGGGAAGTTACCTGCAAGGAGAAGGCTGTTCCACGACGGATTATCCAAATACTTCAAACCACAATCAGCCTTAAAGCAAAAAAACCCCAAACACTCCAGGGGAATATTTAACCTGGTGGCTGTCAGCCACGAGCCCAACCTCGCAGCAAACAGGGAAACGTGGTTAGTTTGCCGGAGCGGCACCGTCCCGCATTGGGGTACGACCTTGCAGGCACCAAATGGACCCCGAGGAGAAGCCGGCACAGCCGAGGGAGCCGTATTTTGGGCAGCTGCTCGATCCGTAACGTCACGGAGCAGCACAGCTCCAGGGATGCCATCACCTGGAAGAGACCCAAATCCTGCGCTCTGGCTACTTTTGTTCCGAGCAGAGCCGACGATGCTCTTCACAACAGAAGGCGCCTTCACAACAGAAGGTGCCTTAGGCTGAGTTTCCTGGCCCAAATCCAGCGCCTGTCATTAAATCCTTGCTGCATAAATTTCCCGTGAAGTTCCAGCTCGCTCAGGGAGACCGTGCATCCCCTCCCCGTGGCCCTCAACATCCTGCACTCGCTGCACCAGCAGCACACACGCAAGTGGAGAAGAGCTGGAGAGATGTAGGAGCACGGAGTGGGTGCCAGTGGCTGCTGTGGGTTTAGGGGGCTATGTGAAGGGGGGTCGGGGATCCTCAGCATCACTGGGCTCCCCTGCCCGGCTCTGCAGAGAGCAGCGAGTTGGGGATGCTGCTGAGATGGGGCAGGAGGTGGAGGTCAAGGGGTGTTCATCACAGATTCGGGATGATTTCAGAAATGCTGGGAATCCCGTCCAAAAAAAAAAAAAAAAACAAACCCACCCAAAATAAAAGGTGCTTTTGTAATGAAAGAAATCCCCAGTACCTGCAAGGCGAAGCAAAGCCTAGGAGAGTGCCACAGCCCGGGTACCAACCCAGGCAGCTGAACAAAACCAAGCGGGGCCGGAGGCAAAGGCACGGCCTGGGAGCCCCGAGGGAAGCAGACCTCTTCATGGCATCGGCGGAGCCAGGATTTCACGTGAGACCGTCTCTGAAGTCAGCACTCGCTGGAAAAGAAAGCGGAAGCCGTTTATTCACTATTGTTATTTATTATTATTAGCGTTGCACAGCAAGGCTCACGAAAGGCACTCGCAGGTCTGCGGGATGCCCAGAAGTTAACAAGAAATTGTGGCTAAACAAGCGCTGATCTAGAAACTACGAGTGTTTCAAAGCCATCCTCCTCTTTTCGGAGTATTTTTGCCTCTTCGTCAGTCAGGGATCCTCAAACCCCCGCGGCTGCACAGCTCTGCGCCATAGCGCGACAGTGCAGCTCTCCGAGCTAAATCAGTTGGTGGGGAATTTCTTCCTCAGAGTATGTAAATAAATATCAATATTCTAAACCAAAGACCTCCCAGTAACTAAATACTATTTATCTTAAATTTATCTTAAAACTAAACAGCTTTGTCACATCAGTATAATAATAAAGAAACAAATTACAAAGAAGGAATTTGATTTTATTGGTTTTATTCAAAGCGCACACATTATATATCCATTTCTAACAACAGAGTTTTCACAGTTCATTAGAGACGTTGTCAAAACTTTGGGTGAAGCTCGTTTCATTTCCCCACCAGTAACAGGAGACATCACAGCCCGCGTGTTTTAGTTTTATTCATTCCTCACAACAGTGACCATTTTCAAATGATATCAGGGAAATCCGCCGCTTCGCTGGGGAAAGGCACGTGTAAGCAAAGAGCATTTGAGCACATAGTCTGACTTTGGGTCTTTTAGGTATTAAATTGGGTTACTGACAAGAAACACCAACATCTTACATCTTGCTTCCTGTGACCAATTAGCACATGACAGTGCACTTGCTAAGGATTAACAAAAAATACCTTTCTTATTTTATCGACGTGAATCCTTGCATGGCAGCGAGTGGCATTTTGCATCCCAAATATCTGAGAGACCACACACCTCGCATATACACCCGATATAGATTTTGGCACTCATGTATCTCACTTCTCGGCAGCTGGCGGCTGGTGCCATTCGAGCAATGCACTCGGGCATTTCGGAGGTGTCAATCTCCCCAGAGCTCCGCAGCCGGTGACGGTGCACAGGCAGGGACTGCAGAGCGAGAAGCCCTTCTGCAAGCCTTAAGCAGGTTGAAGTCTCCCTGCCGGCAGCGGCAATCTGTCTCAGTGAGGATCACAGAATAAAAACAAAGACTTTGAAACCACGGAAGAAATTATTTTAAAGCTCGTCAGTGGGATCTGCAGCTCTTGGAA